GGGTTCACTCAAGGAGGGCATCCAGCCCAGCCCTTTGCCTAAACCAAACTGCCAAGCCCCCACATGTCTCGGGGGGGTGCACTGATCATGGGGTGGTCAGCACTGCTCTCAGCCCCTTCCTCACAGTGGAGCAATGGGGAGCTGGCACAGTGGAGTGACAGGGATGCTGTCCCTGCCCCAGACTCCATCCCGTGGCTCTGACACCCTTCCCGGGAGCGGGAGCAGCAACAAGCTGGACTGGCTTAGCTGGAGCCTCCGTGCCCTCCCAGCGCCCCAGGATGGCAGCACCCACGTCCCCTCGGCGCCGTACATGGCACCTCGGGGCCCTGTCTCCTTCCTGGCTGCAGTGCTCCGTCCCACTCGTCTGGGTTAATTTCCGCTCTCCATTAGCTGGGTGTGCAGGGAGGAGGGTGGGGGGGGAGCTGCCATCACCCTGGTCAACTCCTCCAGTGGGTTTACCCATTCACTCAAAAGAGTAGTGAGGGTTTGGGGTGGAAAGTGCAAAAAAAAAAAAAAAATGTTTCTCATATTTTGGGTACAGGGAGGGTCTGGCCAGGAACACTGCCAGCCCTGGAGCATCCTTCCTCCTCACCCCTGGGGGTTTTGTGTGTTGGTGGTACCTCGTCCTGGCTGCCCCATGCTCTGAAACTGCTTTGGTTTGGGGGTTTTATCTCAGCTGGGTTGTTGCCCGCAGTGCTTGGCTAAAGTGGTTTGTTGGAGGTGATGCTAATCCAGCAGAAACAGAGGGCCAGGGAGTATTTTTACCACCCAGCTGTCTGGGCATGTTGGGACCTTGTTGGGTGACCTGGTGGGGAGCGGTGCCAGCGCCCCGACTCAGCGTCTCTTCCAGCCCTGCCAGGCCAGGGTGGGAAATTGGTGTGTAAAAGCCTGAGGAAGACAGAGCTGATGTGCCTCTTCGTTTGCCTTCTCCACCCCAGCAGCGGTTCCTCGGTGCCCCGGCGTGCCAGCCCTGCCGTCATGCTGCTGCTGATGCATCGGGGCGTGATGGCAGGGGATGGTGCCAGGGATCAGGTGAGTGCTGAGGGTGTCAGTCACTCTTGTAGGAGCAGGGAAACACAAATATGCCAGGGAACATGTGCAAGTGGCTACATACCAGCCCCAGCTACAGCTGCCTGCACTGCAGGGGTCACAGCAGAGGTGGGCCATTTCCTTGGGGTCCTGTGTGTGCTCTGCTCCTGAAACAGCCACCTGAGCACTCCCACAGTGTGGGAATGCTTCCGGCTGAGTTGTGATGGATGCAAGGGCAACAGCAATGCCACTGCAGTGTCTGCTGTGCCCTCCCGCACCACCTGGCATCCTTGGCCACCCAGGCAAAGCCATGGTACTGTCAGACTGCCCCGTCCCTGGCTGATGGTGATCCATGAGTGTGGGGATAGGTGGCCCCTTCACAGCGGTCCTTCTCCTCCAGAACAACATCGGCTGCGCTGTGCAATCTCTGCCATGAAAGGATGAGGTGGAGGAAAAGTTCTCCAGCACCTATTCTCAGCTCAGGCCCCCTTTTCCCTTCTTTCCTTCCTTCCTTTGCACATTATCTTCCAGATAATGCGGGACTTGGGGTCAGGGCTCTTGGAGGTCTTGTACTGCTCGTGGTCCATTCTGTAATCATTTGGGATAGGGCTGGAGCAGTGGATTGTCAATTGGACACACATCAGCTGGGCCACCTCCAGAAGCAGCTGGTAACTGGGGTGATGTGCTGCAGAGCTGGGACCTTGGGGAGACCTTCCTGCTGCTTAAATACCCCCAGTTACAAGACCCTGCAAGCCCCAGTTCACCTTCTGGCACCTGCCCGCCATTTGCTGGGAGAGCCTGGGGGTTCCCATCGTTTACTATTCACATACATTCACTATTCATGTATGAGAATGGCGAGGCCCTGGCACAGGCTGCCCAGAGAAGCTGTGGCTGCCCCATCCCTGGCAGCATTCAAGGCCAGGTTGGATGAGGCTTGGAGCAACCTGGTCTAGTGGAAGGTGTCTCTGCCTATGGCAGGGGGTTGGAACTGGATGAGCTTTAAGGTCCTTTCCAACCCAAACCAGTCTGAGATTCTATGATTCTATGATTTAAATAACCCTGATGCTGCTCCCCACCAGCAGTTGCCCTGTGCAGCAGTCATCTGCCAGCCTTTGCCATGCCAAACATCCCTTGGCTGCTGTGTTCCCCTGTGTGGGATTCCTGGCTCTTTCCCCCAGCACATCCATGGCAATCACCCCAAAACTGCCAGGCAAATTAAGTGGGGTGAGTCAGCAGGATGCTCCGGTACTCCATACAGAGCTGGAGATGACGCTTGGTGGGATGGTGATGACTGAGCCAGGGTGATGGCTCTGTAGGGCACAGCAGGGACAGGGCTCCCTAGAAAGGAGTGGAGGAGGCTGGTAACCTTCAGAAAGATGTGTTGGAGGTACATATCCCTGTGACAGGTGCCTGCGACAGCCAGGAAGCCTAGATCCGGTAACTGGAAGCCACAGGATGGTGCTGGGACTGTTGCTGGTGACTGGCAGTGACTCAAAGCTGGTGCCAGGCAGGTGAGGAGGAAGGCTCTCGAGGAGGTGACCTGGCACAGGTCTGCACTGACTCCCTGCTGAAGGATGTGCGGCTCCAGTCACCCATAATCATGCAGTGGCATGTGATGAACTTGTCTCTGCCTCTGTTTGCCCATGATTTTCTGCAGCCACCGCAGCACACTGCCTTTAGGGGAACCTGCAGATGACTACAGATCCTGCTTTCCCCTCTCTGAGGGCACATGTCTCCCCAAAGTACTTGCTCCAGGCTCATCATCCCCTCCTAAGCAGTGCTGGGTTTGGTGACCTGTCCTTTGCCTGGATACAACATCCCCTGTAGTTGTGTGGCACCACATCATGGTTCCAGTGGATCTGGACTATGGGCAGGGATGCCAGGGAGCTATGAAACAAGGGTGGGCACAGCATGGAGACCCCAAGGAACAGTCCCTGGGGGTACACTGCCCCTCAAGTTGCCTGCTGCTTGCTGGGAAGGGTGCTGATGCCTCTAGCACCCAGCAAACACCCAGCACATCCCAAATACTGAAAGCCAGCAGGAAGCCACCAGAGCAGTCACTGCTTAGAAAGCAGCTTAACTTTGACTCAGTGGGTATCTCGGGTTGTTATTTGCTGATGATAAACAAGTATTTAAAACAGGGGAAATAGGTGCTGACGTCATTTTGTTTTGCCAGTGCTTGCCAGCCCTTCGGCAGAGGAGGAAGAGAATGAATCACTCCTTGCCGGCCCTGGGAAGCCATTCCCAAACGCTCCCTGTGTACACAGGCAAAGCCTTGGAACCCATTTGAGAGTGAAACTGGATTGGTGGGGTGACCTCACACTGTGAGGGCTTCTTTCTTAGAAAACAGTGGCAGACATTACCTAAGCCCATCATGTGCTTTGCCTCCTTGCTCCTTCCCTGCTGCCTGCTTTCCTGCCAAACCCCTGCCTGCACCTCCATAACAGCGCTGGGAAAATACATCCCAGCTAGTGCCTCTCCAGATGCTCAGCCATCAGCAAAGACATGGTGTGTCTCCATTAACCTGGGTGAATGCCCTCCTTGGTGGGCTTTGGTGTCCCACCATCACATCTGTAGCAATAGAAACACACCTGCAGCCAGGGCTCGCTGGCAGGATGAAGGGGATGAGCAGATCTTCATTAAGCAGGAGTTGCACTGTGTGCAATCCTGCAACGCTTTCACAACCCTCCAGCATGCTTTGATGTGGGCTGTTTAGGAGCCACCTTGCAACCCAGCCGGCTGCCCTAGGGCGGGAACTCACAAATCCAGGCTTCTGAGCTGGGCTCAGCCACCAGCTCAACCTATGGCTCCAGGCAAAGGCTTGATATCTGTTTCTTATCTGGAAATAAGCTGTCAATAGCACCTTCCCCTTGAAAAACCAGCATGGATAGGGCGGGGATTTGCTAGTTATTTATTCTTAGCGGGAAGGGAAAGGAAGAAATGCTGGGCCAATGCTCTGCAATTGAGTCCAGGATGGTAAGCCTGACCTGACATGCTTCCCCTGGTTTTGAAGTGTGCATTCCAAGGGACCCCAGCACAAGGCAGGAGCTCCTGCTCGGTGGTACAGAGTTTTGGGGCTGGGCAATGTGTGTTCAGGCACGTCTGGAAGATGAAAGGGCTGATTTCTCTTTTGATCATGAAATTCTCATAAATGTTAATGGGAATTACTTCAAGGTCTAACAAGGGCAGAATTGCAGCCCCCAAGGGGAGGAAGGGGGTGAGGACCAACCAAGCTTTGTCTGGGAAATAAAAGGGCTTCAATTTACCTTGTCCCCTACCTGTGAGAGCAGAGTGCTGGTGACCAAGGGCTGGCCAGCATCCTTGCAGACCCTCCTGGGAAAAGAGGGTCCTCAGGTGTCCCCCACCTTGCTCAGCACTGCTGGCACCAGCACAGACAGGCTATAAGCATCACATTAATTCTAGGCATCATTTTAACTCACAAATCTAAGGCTTTCACAGTCTACAATTTGGATTTTCTTCTCTTTCTTTGTTTTTCTTCCCTCCCCCCACCCCCCGTCTTCCCTTCCTTTTTGTGTCTTTCAGGTTCCCACAGACTTCAAACTCACCTGCTCCAACTACCTGCCGCCTCCCCTGGCTGAAACGT